GCACTATGATACAGTAATTCTGAAACTCTGAATATTAAAGGCCCCATGTCGTGCTTTTCCGGTTATTACCCGTCCCCTTGTGTTATGTAGCTTTTTCTGCATGTATACGGTCTGCAGAGTCACAAACCCTCAAAGTACTCCCTGTAGCGAGTAAAACTCTAACACAGAAAAGTTGTGGGTGCTAGTGGAGCCTCGCAGATGAGGGTGCTGCAGCCCTCAGCATCCCCCCCTTCCCGCGTCCATTCGCGATGTCTCACTGTCTCGCAGACCCCACGCAGAAAGCAGGAAATGAACCTCGCTCTCACACTGTCCGCTCCTCGCAGCAGCGAGCCCCGCAACGTCCCGCCAACACGGCACCCAGACCCCACGCAGCATTCTCATCTTTACTGGTGTCATTTTCTGGTTGCTGACGCCATTGTAACACATAATCACTGATGTTCCGCTGTAACGGTGGTAGACTCATCAGAACAGAGTGGGCGAGCTGACCAATCAGAGCACAGTGTGCTCACAGGGAGGGGGCAGGAGCTCCAACAAGGTGTTTAGGACAGAGAGTGAAATACATATACTATACAGAGATGCTGTATGAGAAACCAATGTGAGTTTGGAAAATTGCACAATATAAATATATTCTAGTAGACCTCAACAATGGAATTATGATCAGTAGAAATGGCCATGACATGGGACCTTTAAAACTGAGCAATAAAAACTTGACAACCAAGTTCCAACTCAATGGCTGTAAACCAACCAACTGTGACAGGATTACAGGATGTAGTTCTGCCACTGGTCCCCACCGCCCTCAGTCACAGACCCAATAGATTTACGATTCATAAATCAAAAAAGTAGGGTAGACATGTGGAGATTATCCGGCTGAACAAAACGTGCATTTATCAAACGTTTTCCACAGATCTTATTTTTTACAATACTCCAAATTCCTATGGAGAAATTCCCTTGTTTTTTTGTCGAGAGAACCCTTGCGCAGCTTACTTCCTGGTCGGCCTACAAAAATACATCATCCCTGCACCACTCTATTAAACGCCATATTATGTTCCAAACCACATCAAGGATTATTTCTGAAACAGTATGGAGCTCAAATGCTTTCTCTCTCGCGGGTTTACCACGAGGTGAGTTTCTTTTATTTCCTGCTTCTTTACACATACTCTCTCCAGTACAGCTTAGCTCTGGGTGTTAGCATGCTTACTAATGTAAACAAAGACCATATTACTTCCAAAACATGTTGCGCATTGTTTCTGATGCACATAGCTTGACATGTTCTTTATTCAGTGTTTACCGCTAGAACAGTGCCATTATATGTATAACAACTTTACTCGGGCCGTGGGCGAAACGTTGCCAGGAGTTCAATGTAAAGCCAGCCCACATTTTAGACGTCAAGACCGCAGCAAATCTGGATCAGCTCCGTTGTACCCCCGTTTTTATAGATGTGGGTAAGGAGGAAAAGAGAGAGGGTTGTATTTTCTGACACTTTGTGAGACTCCCTTCACACGGGGGAGACATATTTAAGTATAAAAAGACATCAAAAAGTGCATTTTGCATAATAAATCAAGTTAACACTAACAATTTTCGAAAAAACAGAGAAAGCTTTCAGAACAAATATCCTGTTAGCTTGCACTCTACAAGTAAGATCCCTGCGGAAATCAGAATGACCCCGATGGACTGCACGGACAATAACCTCACTGTTTCATGACATTTATTTTGTGCCTGGTGTCTTCAATCTCTCTTTATTTGATTTTCCATCTAGCCGTTTCCACACCCCAGGATTGCCATGAGTACAGGAGAACTGTAACAGATAGAGCTAGCAGCTTTGCAGTGTAGTCCTACCGTCTGATATAAAACACACACATATCAGGCCACATATTAATGTCTCACTAAAGGTCAGATCACTATTTAACTGATTTATGCCAACTTGATTCATGATTTAATATAACAAATGTGTGCAGCCCTAATATTGTATTTTTTAATGTTTGTAATTTTTTAAGTCTAACACAGAAAAAAACTAAATAACTTTGTATTGTGTTTGCCTTAAAAAGGTCTGAGGAATTGGTCCAAAGTGATTTACCATAAAACACAAACTCCAGTAAAATTAGCACTATAATACAGTCATTCTGAAACTCTGAATATGAAAACTGAGAACTGAAACTTGACAGCCAAGTTCCAACCCAATGGCTGTAAACAAACCATGTATGTATCTTTCTATATACAGTGTATGGCCTGCATGTGTTTGCATAACACTCATGTGTCTGTCCGAAGAGCAAGACTGGTACACCTGTAGGGCAAACATTACGCTTACATGTTGACACAGTAAGTACGTGATGATATGTAGCATGAACTCAATAATGTTTTCTTTATGATACCATAACCTTTTTTTCTACATGTCTGCCATCATCAAAATTCTCACAAAACCCATCAAGTCTGGTAGATGAAAAGAATTGGTTGTAAATTCGTAACAAACCTTTTAGACCATGAACTAAGATAAAACCACAATCTGAACCATGCAGCAGGGGTGTCAAACTCAATTTCATTGCGGGCCGCATTAGCATTATGGTTGCACTCAAAGGGCCGGTTGTAACTTTTAAGACTATATAAATATACTACATATATAAATATATTATATAAAATAATGTATTATATATTATTGCCTCTGAATTGGATTATTATCGGATAGGGTAATAACTTCATAATTAACTACGTCTGAAAGCAGAAGTCCAGGGCAAATAATTGCAAGTCTCTTCAGTGTGCATGTCACAAAATGAGATGCATTGTGGGACATGTCGTTTATTCTGTAAATCGGCATGTAACCGTATAATAAACGTATTATATTCTTTGCAAGCTTTTGCGGGCCACATAAAATGAAGTTGCGGGCCGGATTTGGCCCCCGGGCCTTGAGTTTGACACCCCTGGTCTACAGGATGTAGTCTAGCTACCACATCCTGGTTATTGATCCTTAAGTGAATGTAGCTTAAAACTGTTCTCCGTTGTACTCTTCTCATACAACACTTTCCTATGATGATGCCAGTTCAGTCATTTGTCGAAGAATTGACCTACCTAATAAATGATTCTTTCTTTGGTGATTTGGAAATTCTGAAATGCTAAATGGGAACAACAAATAAACTTGTGTACAACAATTAAACAGGGCAACTTGTTGGCATACTCTGCTAGGAAACAATGAAAAGTAGTTAATCTTATAAAGTGTTAACTATATGCCAAGTCTTACTTACTAGTATAAATACATTATTTTACAAAATCATGAAAACCCATTTGCATTGGCAGAAGTTAATACAAATTGGTGGGTGGTGTTAATGACATATCTAGTATTAGGGCTGAACAATTAATCCATTTTAAATCGAAATCGCGATTTTAAATGATGCGATTATCAAATCGCAAAGCCTGCTCCACATGTACCAGCCATTGTTAACCAATCAGAAGTGGCCCATGATAGAAGGTGATAGACAGATTGATCCAATCACCTGCCAAGTATTTTTGAAAGTGCCTGCCCTTTCCAAATGGCTTCCAATGGAGCTTTCCTAGATGGTTTGGTGAAACAAACCATCTGAGTCAGGTTAGTAAGACTTTAAAGCAACCCAACGGAAGTTTCATGTAAGTTTAGTTCTTTCACTCGTAGCTCGGGCTAGAGACGGGAGCATGTTGATGCAACATTCCTAGCCGGAGATATGGCCGCATTTTACAATAAACTTCCGTTGGGTCGCTTAAAAACATATATCGCAAATCGAATCGCAATATTTGTCAGAGAAATTGCAATTAGATTTGTTCCCAAAATCGTGCAGCCCTATATGGTATCCATTAAGGTGCGCAGGCCATCAACAGATTCCTATTTGTTCAAGTGAAACCGCATGTTGCTGTGAAACATGAAGTGTTGCTACTGCCTGCCCTGTGACTCACGTGTTGCTAGGGAAAAAACAAAACTGTATATGGCTTAGTAAAGATCCTCTCTAAATACTAATATTGGTCGGAGGTGGAAGAAGTACTCAAGTCATGTACTTAAGTAAAAGTAAAAGTACTCAAGTGTAGGAATACTCTGTTATAAGTAAGTCCTGCAATCAAAATTGTTCTTAAGAAAAAGTACAACGGTGTTACCATCTAAATATACTTCAAGTACTCATTATGTAGATTGGTCCATATCAGAATAATGTATATGATATGTTTTATAATGATTGATCATGAAAGTGTTCTCAAAGCTGGTAAAGGTGCAGCTAGTTTGAATGACTTTGTATACTGCAGGGTAGCTTGTGGATTTACTCCAGGTGGAACTAAAGTCTGATTTAAGGCTTGGTTATATTTCACATCATTAATCCACATCTGTGAAGTAACTGAAGGTATTAAATACATGTAGAGGAGTAAGTATACATAAGTCTGATTTGTAGTGGGGAAGAGTAACACAGCAGCAAATAATTGAATATATGTAAAGTCCCTGTAAAGTGTGCTTAGGTACAGTAATTTAGTAAATCTACTTAATTACGTTACACCACTGCTATCGATGGGTGTGATAGAAAACCCTGGCGTTTTCTATTTTAAACTAAATACAATGAAACATTATTTTGTAAATGGCCATGACTGCAGCTAAAGTTGACGTGTCCTAACCATGGTCCTAACAAAGAGATACGTGTACACAACGGGACACCTCGTTCTCTCTCAGCCCAGGAACAGAGCTATGCCAATCAGGTCATTTGGCAGCTATATTCATGTACCGGTAGATGGTTTTCTTTTGAATACTAAATATTGCAAAACAAAGTATAACTTCACATTTGAAGCGAAAATAAACAATAAGAAGTACGGTCAATTATATTTAGTGGTCGGTTCGTGTCAGTGTGGCAATTTAGATTTCACTTAATGTGTTCACAGTTAGTAATGTAACGATATGTTAATTAATACATGTCAACAATCCACTATTGGTTTTCAACGTTGTCGGTCATGTTAGCAAACTGTTAGCTACAGAACACAATGAAAACATTTAAACGTGAGCTTACCTGGACTCTTCAGGTTATATTTATTCTCCATACTCATAGATGTTGTTCACTGTTCAAAGATAAGGTGATGTTTATGTTGTTAACTCGCAAGCTAGCTCCCAGCTAACGCTACCTACTTATCGTTAGCTACACTTAGCAGCCAGGTTAGCTCCCTTCGGTCCTCAACATAAGCAGGACAGCTGAAACTAGAGGTAGTCCACTCTCCCCGATGTTCCGATGTGTTGGTAGGATGGACGTTATTTGAATTCAGCCGTTGCGAGAATATTAAACATCTGTTTCCTAAGTTATCGCCTGTTTCGGTTTTAAAACAGCTTGTTAAATGTTATCCGTGTGACGTCATGTGTGGAAACGTAAACAGGAAGTGACCATGCTACTACTGCTTTCGTCTTCTGTGCAGATGTGAGGCAGCGCATGCGTGTTATGGCAAGAACACTCAAAGCAATTTAAATTAACAGATATTCCTGCCTTCAAAATATGCCACATTGTATTGTACATGTATATTGATAATTTGTTTGTTTGCTGTAAATGGAAAGGTAGCACTAGCAAGCCCTTATTTCCTTGTTTTATTAATGAATTATATGGTTTTTACAGTCTCTTAAAAAAACACAGTCCTGGAAAATTGACAAAAAGACTCAGTGATATTTCTAAATTGTTATTATTTTAAGTAAGGTCCGACTCCTTAATGCGTCTTTAAAGCTTTTGTGTCTTTTATTTGTATCTCCCTGGCTCTCATTGGATGTCATTTATGTTCATTGTCTATGACTGTATTTTTTGCACATATGATGATGATAACTTGACATTATTTATATCCTCATCAAACTTGTTGCATTTTACTGTAAGTTCTAAATATGTTCAATACAAAATAAATAAAATAAAAACATACAACAAACAGGCATGTCAATTTGACATTTTATTAAAAAAATTAAAGTGTTAATCTTACTAAGAACTGAATACTTAATTGTAAAATGTGATTACTACTGATTACTTACACTACAATTATATGTATATAAAGGCCTTGAGATACACTAGTCGTACAATTACAGTTCCACATACTGAATTGTTACAAACTGGCTCCTTCTTGCAACAAAAGGAGAGGAAGTTTCAACAAAAGTTCCCAAAAACAATAATTTATTTACAACCTCAAAACTGGTCACAAATAACAAAATGCAAACGGAGGAGGGCTGGTGAGGTGCACGGGGCATGGCAACCGAGAGAGAGTGGGACTCAAAGAAGAAGAAAAAACTCAAAGGAACACATAGCAGATACGCTGAAGCCCAGGTATCAGTAAGAGGGGAACATCAAATACTGATTGGTGCATGCCTAGTGTCTGACTAATGATCGAGCCTGTTCTTCCTCCAGTACTGAGAGACATGTTGTGAAATAAGATCAAACCAGGTGCTAAAAAGTCTCCCTGTTCTGTTATTACTCTGTGTGATGAGGCGACGTCTCCTCCAGCTTTTCTTCTGAGCGAGCACCAGACAATGGACTTTTGAATGGGTTTTTTTAAGATATGAACACTTTTTACAAAAGCACACACAACCAGAAAAAAGGTGCTGGACAGAAGAACATGTAAAATACGGAACAAATAAACTCATATTTATTTTAGATGAACATTCAATAAACCACCGCCGTCTTTAAGATATAGTATGAAAATAAGCTTGCTCACCGTATTTAATTATGTTTTCATATTTATATTTGGGGATGAATGATATATTCTATTCTATTCCACAATAGTGCATCCAAACCATCTAATGGCGCATTTCCATTGCAGCGCGTAGCACGGTTTAAGCGTGCCGTGCCAAACCCGGCACGTTTTTTGTTGCGTTTCCACTAGGGGTAGTTCTGGCTAACGGGTACTTTTTCACAGTTTTTCTGGCCCTCCAAAATCGTGGTTCTTTCCAGGCCAACAACCGGGCTGAATATGCTAAACTAGTGACGTGAGTGGCTACAACTACAACGCAATGAACATATTTGACCGTGATTTAATTGTAATACACGTTTCAAAATGATGCCGAAGTAACAACATACTGATACCGGTTAGTAAAAACCATGAATTAATGCTTTGACAAGTCTGCAGACAGACGACAGGCGAAAAACCTTTTTAAATGCTTGTTTTCTGAATGGAGATCGGCTAAGCCAGTGGTTCTCAAACTTGTTCTGTCATTCCCCACTTTGAACAGGTGGTTCAAGCCCCACCTGTTCGTCATCGCTCCAATCAAATGGTAGGCCAAGCTTAAAATGGTCACATGTATCGTTCTATAACAGGGGTCTCCAACCTTTTTTAGGATGAGAGCTACTTTCACAAAATAAAACAAGTCGTGAGCTACTTTTACTCCCCTTTTTTTTGTTTTTTGCAGTGTATATATATTTAGCACATTTTAACATTATTATATGCTTACCTTTAACCTTTGTGTGCTGTTTGGGTCTGTGGGACCCGTTTTCAGTGTTTACTAAAAGAACATGTTACAATTAAATTATTTTTCACCTGCTTTATTTGGGGGTGGACCTCACCTCCTCTAGGGGGGTCCGGGGGCATACACCCCCGGGAAGATTTGTTTTTACATGTTGAAGTTAAAAGCATCAATCTGGTGCACTTTGAGCACAACATGAATTTATGGATACAGCTCTCAACACTCAGATGAAAGGGAGCTGTATACTTTTCAATAATCCAAACATCTTTAGAATATGATCACAACCAATAACAAATCATTTAAACTTGTTTATTCATATCTTATGTTACCTAGTTAGCATTCTATCTTTTTCTTTATGCATATTTTACTAATCACTCCCCTTTTAAACTGTTTTTTTTTTTTACTGTCCTATACCTACACATTGAAATGATTTGCCTTTGGTGGGCCGCTGGCTCGTCCGATCTTTGAGACAAAGAGTGAGTATTTGTTTGTGGTTTAGTGTTGATATTGTGTTTGGTGGTGGGCGGCAGTGTATATAGATGTAGCATTGGCTGTGAAGTATCTTACTGTTTAACAGCTTCCTCAGTTTAGATTGGGGAGTGTCTAGCTGGGCTGAATCAGTCCTTCCTTCAGGCACTCGTTTTTTATTTTGCCTTTTTTATTTTCGGGGTAATAATCATTCCCTGTTAGGGTTTCGCCCCCGGTGATGTTTGCCTTTAAAGTCGCACACTCCAGAAGATAGTTAGGTAACTTTTGGTAGGCAGGATCTGTGGAAGTTTGTTATTTGGAAGACTGGCGTCAGTGTTTGGGAAGCGGTAGTGATAGGTTGTTGTGTTTAAAAAAAATAAAATTGTAAATATCCGTTGCTAAGTATGGCTTTTGTTTTGGAGCAGTTTGTGGCCAGTCCCACTGTGTGTCAGCTAGACCGGTGTAGGAAGGTTGACTTGCGGTTAGTTGCTGACCACTATCACGTTTCTGTCTCCACTGCTCTTGTTAAAAGTGAACTCAAGGCTACTTTGCTAACTGGACTAGTTGAACAGGGGGTTTTGAGTCTGCCTACTTTAGTGGAATCTCCTGGCACGGTGGCCGGGGCTGTAGCAGCAGTATCTCCTAGTGGAGGCCACGTTGGTGTTACTCCTGGTGTTCAGAGTGCTACGGTACGGTACAGGCAAAACTTTTCACCATGCCTCAGTTTGACTCGTTTTCGGCAGGGGCCTCTCCTACGGGGTCTAAATTAGATGCCAGGATAAAAGTATGTGTGGCTCGTCTCCAGTGGGAGAAGGAGGAGCGTGATAGGGATTTTCTGCTCAGGAGGGAGCTGGAGATCAGAAAGTTGGAGGCAGACACTGCTGTCCGGATGCGTCAACTAGAGCTCCAAGTAGCTGGGGTGCGGTGATTCTGCTGTTACACACTCTGGTCCTACTGCCTCCTTCGACGTGAGTAGGCATATTTCTTTGCATGGGGAGATTTTCTCTAACTGGACCTCGTTGAATTTTAGTTGAATACCCCTGGTCTATCTGAACGAGCAAAAAGTAACTACCCTTCAGCAGGCTGCCACTCTGGCAGACGATTTTGCACTGATACACAAGAGCGTTTTTTTTCAGCGCGATCCTCCTCAGCGAGACACTTATCGTAGAGCTCCTGACAATTACGTTCCCTGTGCCAGTGTCCCAGGCTAAAGAGATCTTCTTTTTTTGTCATGACCCAGGTCGGGCAGCAGGTGACAAGCACCCAAAAGGGGTGGGCTTGATTAAAAAAGTGTGTCCTAGTGGTCAAGCCACTGTTAAAATGGGGCCTGATGAGTGTTTTAAGCCGTTCATCTCTACTGCTGTTGTCTTTCTGTCAGGGAAGGTGGAGGACCAGCGGCAGGTCACAGTGTTACGAGACAGTGGTGGCTCACAGTCGTTCATTCTTGCCAGCGCTCTGCCCTTGAGTACTGAGTCCGCCTGTGATGCAAGTGCCGTGGTAAGAGGTATCGAAATGGGTTTTGTGCCCGCACCTCTTCACAATGTCCATGTCCAGTCCAAACTGGCTACTGGTTTCTTCCCAGTTGCCGTACTCCCCAGGTTTCCAATCGATGGTGTGGATTTTATAATGGAAAATGATATAGCCGGAGGTAAAGTGTACTCCCGAGGTTGTTGACGTTCCAGTTCCTGGTGCTGTAGATGATAACCTAGCTCTGACTCATCCGGAGGTGTTTGCAGTTAGTGTTTTGACCAGAGCTCAGGCCCGTAAGCAGGCTCAGGATGTGGATTTGTCTGATTCTTGGCTTGTTTCTGCCCTATCTAATGACAGGTTGACCCCTGTTGAGGATTAGTGGAGGGCCCTCCAACAGTGTGTGATGGTGAAATGGAACCTGTCGCTATTGCTCCAGAGGTGGCTATGCCTTTGACCTGTGAGACGCTCATCACTGCACAGAGAGATGATCCTACCTTGATCAAGTGTTTCGACGCTGCTGAGAACCCTAACGAATGTAATAAGAAACAGTTGTTTTTTGTGGATGATGGGGTGCTGATGCGCCGGTGGGCTGACCAATCAAGTGATGCAGATGTTGGTTCAGGTGTTGATTGGAACAGCGTTTATCAGTTAGTGGTTCCTGTGAGTTGTCGGCAGCAGATTATGATCCAATATCCAGATTATTCTGTAGAACGTGTAGCACATGCCAGGTAGTGGGTAAACTTAATCAGGTAGTTCCCCCAGCGCCGTTGTGTCCTGGTCCGGCTATTGGTGAGCCTTTGACCATATCATTGCTGACTGTGTCGGTCCGTTGCCGAAGACCAAGGCAGGTAATCAGTTTTTGCTGACTGTGATGTGTGTATCAAACCGTTTCCCTGAGGCCAGCCCTTTGCATAAAATCACTGCACCCGCCATCATTAAAGCATTGACCAAGTTTTTTACCACCTTTGGGTTGCCGAAGGATGTGCAGACTGATCAGGGAACTAACTTCCTTTCCAAGGTTTTTAGA